TCGGGTTTGTAAAAATTTCTACAGCTCTCTACTTTATTTATTTATTTTTTTTTCATCATCAATACATTCTCGCCACTAAAATCAATTTCTTTCACTTTTCTTGATTTTCGAAAAGTCTACAAATATTCTGGTATTATTTACCAATTTTTGCATTTTTTACTGTTAGGTAAGTTACATGTTTCGAAACAAAGTTTCGAGAATGAAATTTTTCTTTGGTCTTCAATGACCCAATTCGTTTACCATATAAGATTCGAGAAGTACAAATTGGCTAATTTGTTATAGAAATTATTGAAAAATTTGATAAATAATTTTTGAAAAATTCTCAAAAAGTAATTGAAGAAAGCTGTACGCATGTATATAAAATTTCCAAAAATATTTAGGTGTGGATTTGAAATGTATAGGTAGATGTATGTAGGGTATAATGTATTGTTAAATATCGTAATAAAATAAATATTTACTTCAAATTTATTGTAACATTTATTCGGCATTTACAATAAAAGCAACGAACGACAAAAGAACGAGAAATCAGAAAAGAAATAGACAACAAACACGTAATCGAAATAATGATTTTACGATTTTAAAATTGTCTAAAAGGACCACAAATAAATTTAACAGTTATATCCAAAAATTAATATCCATCGTCCACGTTAAAGCATAAATTTATTTACACCCTAAAGAATCGCTTTTATATTTTTATTATTTTATAAAATATTCAAAAATATATTTTATATATTTTTATCTATTTTCTATGTCTGTTATATAATTATATTTTATAACAATAATGATTTTGTCTAGTATGTTTATGTCTATCATATTTTATAACAACGGAATTAAAACTTCTCGATTAAAGAATTCAAACGATCAAACGATAATCGAAAGCTAATGATGAAAATAAATTGTAATTAAAAGAACAAATTCTGAGGATATTCAGTCACTTGAAATGTGACATTGAAAAATATAATCTAAGCTGAAAATTTATCAAGCAGTCAATTAAATTTTTTCCAATTCGTTCCAAGATTAATTATATACTCTTTGTTTTCAAATCACGTAATAATCCTTTGCAACTTTCCAATTTTATAATATAGAACAATTAGATTGCAAGTGAAAATGCATATTATCATTTCTTTCTCTTTGACGAGAACCATTCAATGATAAGCCAGAGTGATGATAAATTCTAATTCTATAGTTAATCACATTAAGTTGTATCTAATATACAGCACTGTATCTTATCTAAATACTTAGAATTATTAGAACGACTTATCTAAACACTTAGAATTAAGAAAATTCTTCTCACTTTAACGCGTTTCCTATCGAAATTAATTCTAATCTCGCCAACGATAATTTAGAATACTGTACCATTAGAAAATATTCACGAGACTGAACAAAATACGAAAAATCACCAATAGAGGAGAAAATGGTTTCCAATAGTATAAATTATTCGTCCCTCGACAAGTTATAATACAAACGAATTTTTATTATGTTAACTTCTATTGAATTTCTCCTTCAACGTAATTCACAATGGGACAAAATTAAAATAATGATTATTATTACTGTCAGACTTCAAGAGACGACGAAGGCACACCAATCTAACATATATTTAAATTAAGTTATTAATTAATATGAATTATTGACTGCTGATAACTCAATGACTCACGGGACAGGAAACGTGTTAAGCATGTTATACGATTACCTATGGGATCACATAACGTAGCGAACGTGGACTAGGGTAGTAATTCCTCTTTTGTCAGAGCGCCCAATGCTCTAGCAGCCAATGCTCTGCCAACAGTTGCCGCCGTGTCCTCGATAATCGGGCTGGCGATGTCCAGAACTAAGCGTGGATTCGCGTTGAAGAACGTGGCCGCTGCGTCAGCTGAAAAGGCGAAATTGCACGGGAAGGTGAGAAAAAGAAAGAAAAGGAGGAAGATCGGAGAACGAAGAAGGGAAGAAGTTGGACAAAAGCTTCGCGGATCGTGGTCGTCGCTGAGAAAGATCCGAGGTTATTGAAGTAAACGCGGGAGAAGGAAAAGTTTTAATAACATCGAGTTGTCAACAATTAGGGATTTCGTAGTCGTACACACACATGTATGTATGTATATTTGTTTAGAGGTTAAACGAAGAACTGGGATAATTGTTTCTTCTGGTAGATTTAATATTTATGAGTGAATGATGTTGAATATTATGGATACTATTGATTATTAGGAAACGTCGAATTATTCAAAAATGAAAAAGAAAAAAATGTCGTTTGAGTATGAATAAAAAGAAATTTCTACTGTTTGAAGTGGATGTTAAAAGTATTTAGAATGTTTGAAAGAATTTTATCATGTTTAAGTTTTAGGGGGAAATTTGAAAGTGATTTTTATATTTATCTCAGTTTAAATTGATTATTGAAGAATGTTTATGCTAGAAATAGATTTTTAAATAGAATTGAACTGATTAATGAATTAATGATGAAACTTATCCTCCTCTCTCTGAAAAGCCAAGAATAAACTTACCAGCTACAGTATGAGAAGGAGGTGCTTTTAATCGGATGTTCCCGTCTCCTACGCGAATCTTCGTCACTAGCTTATCAATTTCGATTCTCTGTACTCCATTTTTATCAGTTATTTCTTTGCCTTGAGCAGTTACTTGCGCCTCCGTGTTAGCTGCAACAGCAAACGAAATTTATGAATCACTCACGCGAGTATTCAAATATATTTAAATTAAAATATTTCAGTTT